AACTGATACTCCACTGATGGAAATGCATCCAGTTATATCAACAAATTTAGAATTTTTACTAGGGACATCCTCTGCTGGCTCCTTTTGGCAGACAAAGCCTCCCTTCAAGAACCAGGAAATCTGGATTTTTTTTTTTTTTTTTTTTAATGTTTCGGAAGACACATAAAAGCTACCAAGGCAGGGAGCTCCGGAGCAGCCAAGATCTCAGAGACAATGAAATTATGGGAAGGTGAACTCAACATCTGGTTATGCTTTTCCCCTGGAGACAGGTGCCAATTCCAAAATAGCAGCTCAGAGGTTGCCTTAAGGCAGCCGAGAGGCTGAGAGCCTGGAAAGTGGCAGCTGAGCGGCCTACAGGCAGCTGAGACGCTTTAACATTGAGTAAAACAGGCACCCGGGAAGCTGCGAAGTGGCGCAGAACCCCCAGCAGTCTCAAAAGGACTGGACACCAGAGGAGGGGAAGCAGGAGGGCAAGGTGCTAGCTCAACTTCTGAAGGACTTCACAGCAGGAATGTGGCTGCAGAAGAAACAGGGGAATTCACAGAAGAACCAAAGGCCAGCTTCCAATCAGCTCAAGCTTAAAGTCCTTGATCTTTTTTTTTCTCCTTATTAAAACATATTTTATTGGGGCTCTTACAACTCTTATTATAATCCATACATCAATTGCATCAGGCATAGTTGTATATATGTTGCCATTGTTTTTTGGGTTTTTTGCCATTTACTTTCTATTGAGCCCTTGGTATCATCTCTTCTTTTCCTTCCCTCCCCTCCTCCTCACTCTTGTGGCCACACTTGATAGATTATAAATTATTATTTTCATATCTCACACCGACTGCTGTCTCCCTTCCCCATGGTTTCTGTTGTTCTTCCCCCTGGAGGGGTGTGTGGTTAAAGTCCTTAATCTTAAATAAGCTTCCAGTTCAAATTATTTTTGAGTTACAGACAGGACACTGAAAGTACTAGCTATAAAGGAAAGATTGATAAGAGAATGGAACGGCACGCATAAACAGCTGACGATAGGTGTTCCAATCATATAACCAAGAGTCCACATCATGTACATACATGCATGCATATATTTTAATGCCAATAAAGGTCTAAGAAAAAGACAACTCAATTGAAAGGTGAACAAAAGATTTTCACAGGGGAAGATCTCATTACTCACCAAACTCATAGGGAAATGCAAATAAAACCTAAATGAGAAACAAAACCAACAGAATGGCTAAAATTTTAAAAAGAATTGCCAAGTCTTGATGAAAATGTGGAACAAATGGGAATGGAAATTTGCACCTTTCTATGAATAAGAGATACGCCTACTCGGCAGCCCACTAAGCCTACATCTGGGTGGGTATATACTCACACATGTGCACCGAAAGACAGGTGCAAGTCGGCAATGCAGAACCATGGGAAACAACCAGTTTATAAAGGCCAGGAGGAAACGAGTGATTGGGCTGCTAACTACAACGTCAGCAGTTTGGAGCCACCAGCCACTGCAAAGGAGAAAGCTGAGGCTTTCTACTCCTGTAAAGAATGACAATTTTGGAAACCCACAGGGTCGGTTTTACACTGTCCTCAAGGGTCTCTATGACTTGGGATCCACTCAGTGGCAGTGAGAGAGCTAGGGCAGGCATGAGGATTCAAGGAGGTGAGTGGGCATGAGGGATTTCGTTGAATGAATGACGGTGCTCTCTGGCCGATTTGTGGTTGCATAGCTCAGTGAAAAAAAGCTTTAATAGTTGAACTATATACTTGAGATGGGTATATTTTTCTAGTATATAGAATATAAAAGTATATAAAATATACTTCAGTAAGATTATAGAAAATGTTCAAGTTCATGGCAGCAAGGAATTAAAATCAATTTAAATGTTCAAAGTAAGGGAAAAGATTAATGACATGACTAAAGCATGTCGCACAGCATCACAACCGTTTTTTGAGTGTTATGGCTCCAAGGCTGCATACACAGAGTGGGCTTCACTTTAAGAAGTTCAAAGTAAAGGAAGGAAGGAAACCAAAACATGTTCACAGATGTTTCTGATCATCAGCAGGGTAAGAGACACCTCTTTCTTTCTTCTTCTTCTTCTTCTTTTTTTGTATTTTTCTAATCTTATTTTAGTGCAGCATTCTCTTACCTTCAATAAAAGAACATTATTTTTGAGAAAATATCTCAGTAGTTTTAATCCCATTCTTTGGACAAGAGATTGCTGTTGTCGCTTCTGATTCAAACTGACCCCATGTGAGAGCGCAGAGTGGACCCATAGTTTTCTAGGCTCTAGTATGGATGGAAGCAGATAACCAGATTTTGCTCCCGGAAGCCATGGGGTGGGATCAAACCACCAACCTTCCGATTAGCAGCAAATCACTAACCCATTGCACCTCCTGGGCTACTTAGGACAACAGTTAAGGAAGCAAAATTAAACATTTTCCAGTTCCATTATCCATGGGTGTAAGTAAGACCGTATTTAAAAGTTTGCAAAGTTGTAGCGGGAGTGCCTACTCAAATCGACCTCTTCCTTTAAGTCACTGTTGAGATACTCTCAGCAGTAAGGGGCATACTGACTTTTGAGTAAAATCAAGTTTTATTATCCCCAAATGCATAAAATTTAAATGTGGTTTTGTCCCTACTACTGTTAAAAGGGCCCCAAATCTCTGCTATTAGTTTCTCTGATCGGAGTCCTTGAGTGGCACTGTTGACCTTGCAGTTAACACACAATACCCACATCCAATGTGACAGAGTGAAATCGCTCCGGAGTGTTTCTTACTAGCTCTCCTCGCTGCTGGGGGAGGTCCACCCCCAGGTCTTTCTCTCCTGAGGCTGTAGAGTAGAGTCGAAGTGTCAATCTTTCGGTTAGCCATTGCATGAGAGAAAATTCTTCCATATTCCTTATCCCATCAACCCACCTCACTGCCACCGCCTGAGATGTCGTCTCTCGTGGTGTAAGAACTCCCTGGAATATGGGACGATGAGAATTTGTACTATCACAAACTCAATGACTATATGCACATACAGCAGTCAACCATGCATTCAGCTATTTTTAAAGAAAGTCAGAGATGTCCAAATCCTTGGCCCCACTGTAATGAACCTAAGTCATTACCATAGCAAATTCCAGTAACAAGCATGGGGTGAAATATGGATTTCCTGAATTTTTTCTAGAGTGGAAAGTTAAAAAATAGCGGATGAGAACCAGAACTACATTACAGTGCATTCTGTCCTCTGTGCACCATCGTGAAATAGCATTGCAGGAGAGCAGTGCTGACTCATCCTTGGAAATAATGGCAAATATGCTTTGACCTTGAATCACTGCCATGATCAAAATACTCCTGGTTCACTTGGGAAAACTATGAAAAATTTAAAGGTCACACTTAAAATATTGAGGACTCAAAATGGATGAAGACGGTTTGGACATTCCAAATGGCCACCACATAAAGAAAAAAATCTCAGGCCAGAATGATCATTTACCAGCTGAAGGGATCTTGCATATTTTGCCCTAATGCTTGGTTTCTCACATTGGTATTCCTGTGCACTTTATAAATCTGATTTTGACCTAACTTTTGGACTTGATTTATACTCTTCTTTAAATTCAAGCCCTTCCTCCTCTTCTTTAACAGCTAGTTATTAAGCAACTACCATCAGCCAGCTTCTGATAAAACACTATGTAAAATGAAGAGCAGCGCCCTGGTGCTGCAGTAGCTTCGCGGTGGGCTGCAATCGGCATGGTCAGCAGCTCGAAACCACCAGCAGCCCCGAGTGAGAAAGACTGGAACAGCTAGGAACCCCCAGGGGTCGCTACGAGTCAGCACTGACTGGACGGCAGCGAGTGCTTGGGTTTGTTTGGGTGATGCTTCCTGCCTTACGTAACTGAAGCATCTAGTAGAAAGGCTCAGATCAAAGACAAAAATAATCAATGGATAGACTGTGTGGCATGTGCTTGCAAGAAAAATGCAAGATGCTCCAAGAATGAAAGACAGAATTCCTCATTTATGAGTGCCCGTATTTTAGTGCAGCCTCCTCTATACCTCATGCCCTATCGCGAGGTATTATCCAT